TCTCAAGGTTATATGTGCCATGGGTTCTAGTCACGGTCTCTGCTTCATGGTTTATGAAATATGAAGTTGGCTCATATACCCCCCACCACACATCTTCTCACCCAGAAAAAAAACTGGATTTTCTCTAAAACCATGAGCTAAATGAAACCTTTCCTCACTAAACTGCTGATACAGACCATTTTAAAAGGCTTGGTCTGGAGGTGTCAATTTGGGAATCATCAATATTTCAAGGTTTAAAGGGTAGTTGATGATAAGAGACATGATCTGTCAACTAAAACTACAGCAAGAAAAGAAGGATGTCCATAATCGAGCTCAGTAGGATCCCAGGGTTTACAGGGAGGCAAAGGTGGACAGCCACTGAGAACAAAAGTGGGAGTGCTCAAAGATGGAAGAGAGTGAGTGAGAGAGAGGCATGGCCACTTCAAAACAAGAGTGACTTTCAAGAGGAGTAAGAGTGTCCAAAAGTTATGGCAGACAGGCCTCAGTTGACCTTGGCCGTGAGTATCTCCAGAAAGTGGTGGAGTGAAAGCCAGATGGAGGTTGAAAAATTAACTGGAGGAGAGAAGGACAGAAGACAGGCTTGAGGTGGAGTTTTTCTTGGTTATAGGTATGTGCTGGCCTTGTTAGTGTGACAGAGAATGTGACTGTATAGAAAACCAAAGACTCCTAAGAGCAAGTTTTCCTAGGAAGTGAGAGTGGAGGTATGAATGTTAGCCTTGACCAGGGCCAGTGTCTTATCAGAGATAAAGATAAGGCAGGAGGGTGCTCTGAGTACAGGAAAGCTGGGGGGGGGGGTTGGAAAACAAGAAGCCAATCTCCTGGTTTATGGCCCCCATGAAATTATCATGTAAAGGTGAAGAAGAGAGTATTCAATTTAGCGTCCCTGTATGGAGAATATGAGGAGTCACTAATTGGAATCCAATGGAGTATTATTGAGTAGCATTAAGATTACATTAAGATACAAGCCTCAGTACATTGTGGCACCCATCCCACAAAGGGGCACATGGTTTCCAAGCTTCTTGGGAACTCAGGATAAAGACAAATGTTCACTTTCACCATCCTTTGAGTTTCAACTGGTAGAAACATTAAATCAGCAGAAATTAAGTAACTGATCAACAAATCAAAGGTGTCTCACTCACCCAACTCTCTCTCTCCAACACAGTGGGCTCTCTGATTTAAAACTCCTACTCTTGTGTTTTTGAATGTAGGTCTCAGAGGCAAAATGGGCAGTACCTTTCAAATATCCTCTGAGCTCTTCCATTAATTCTTAAATGGCCTTTTTAAAAATCTAAGGAAAGTTCAAGGGGTGGCCTGTGTTCTGCATGCCATAGATTTAGGGACTGCATCTTCTAAGACATCTGTCTGTGATGCCAAGGACCACAGGAAGTTAGGTGAGTGTAACCGCAGCAGGGACTGAATGGGGAGTCTCAGGAAGCAATGGCATCAAAGAACAGTAGCTGTTGGCTGTTAGACATGAGCTCTGCACGGACAAAGACTGAAGGTTAATTGAAAATGAAGAAGAAAAATGTAAGCCAGCTGCTGTGGAATAATCATTACATGCACTGTGTAAATTATGCTGTGATTGGTTCAATAAAGAAACTGACTGGTCACTAGCTGGACAGGATAAGGTTAGATGGGAAAATCAGACTAAGAACACTGGGAAGAAGAAGAGCAGAGTCAGGAGAGTTGCCAGGAGATAGAGAGGGAGCAAGGTGTGCTGGAGAACAGGTAAAGACATGAGCCATGTGATAACACATAGATTAATAGAAATGGGTTAATTTAAGTTGTAAGAGCTAGTTAGTAATAAGGCTGAGCTAGCAGCCAAGCATTTACAATTAATATTAAGTATCTGTGTTGAATATTTGAGAACTGGTGGGTGAGAAAGAGAAGCCTGCCTACAGCTTGCTTCTAAAAATCCTGGTGCTTCCTGGGAGGAGACAGGGACTGGCTGTGACAGCAGGAAGATTGGGGGAGTGTCCTAATACCACTTGGGACTACATGGAAGGCTTTTTCAGGAGAATGGTAGAATCATGTTTGGGACCCATGACAAGAGAAGTAGGCCAATGTTGTGCCTAATCTCAGGCCACTCAATAGTTCTTTAGGTTTGTACCAATAAATTTCCATCCATGAACAAATCTCTAGGGCAGACAACCTTGGGGAGAAATCTAGGCTTTCTTTGTTTCATTTTATTTTATTTAAAGCAAAATATAGAATGTTCCAAGAAGACAGCAAAAATACACAAGAGATTGATCCAAAACTTGTAATGGAAAGGGAGGTTCAAAATCGGGGGAGCAAGAATAGGAGCCAGAAAGTATCTGGGCACAAACTGTCTCATCCCAGGCTTACTGTCGCTTTTCCAGTAAGTCAGATAAAATGGAAAATGATAAAAAAAAAATAATAAAAATAAAAAGATTCATACATACCATAAACACTTTCTATAACTGAAAACATAAATGTACACACATGTGCCAATCTTTTGATGTCAGGCCAGGGCCCGCTCTCTGCATATGGATCCACTGATTAGAGTTATGCCTTTTCTGTCTTACATAAACCACATCCTTCATCTACGATTTCCAGTTTTGCTTTCTTTAAAGGGAGGGAGAATGTGAATACACTTGTTAAATACTCTGAATGCAGAAACTCTACATTTTTATAAGCACTCAGCCAACTGCATGCACTGTTTTACTATTATCCTGTCCATACCTTACCAGTAGCACAGTGTTCACAGCTAACAATTTAGCAAGGCTTTGCAAAGCCTTCAACTCAATTTTCAGAGAAACCAAACCATTTTTTTCCTTTTGCATTTGATCAGTTTATACTCTGTGAAATCAAGTTGGGTGAATAGGTTTAAGGATCAGTGCAATTCCATTGCTCTTTGTTCATAGATGCAGGAGTACACAGCGCACCTAAAGGAAAGCCTTTGCACAGACCACATCTATGTGCTGAAGCTGGCGATCTGGGTGGCTAACACCGGGGGCAATACTAGTTAATCCTATGGGTCGGTTAAAGAGCCAATCACAAGTTCTTTAGATGCACAGGCAACAAGACAGGGAGCCCAGAGTGTGGCGTATTAACTGGCTTCCAACCCATGGAATGCTGGTGTTCAAAAGATGGTTTTCTTCCCCATGCACTTCTGCCCTGCCCCATCCTTGACTCCTTATCCCTTGGGGCTCTTGCTGTTTGCGTGGAAAGAGAGACCTGGACAACAAGGCTCACCGAAGAACTGCAGGAATTCCACAGGTGGCTTCTCAGCTTTTAGTTACTTCTAGATACCGTGTTACTTCCCTTGCTTCCCATCGTTCAGAATTTAGAGCCACAAGTCCCACTCGCTTGCCTTGTTCCCTATGCACAGATCTTCTTCATCTGAGCTTCTCTTCCAGGAGACTGGGACCAACACCCACACCCTGCCTACCAGTTGCTGCCAGTGACCACACATAAAGCAAAGAGCAACAAAAACAAAAACATGTTTTCCAGAAATGCTCATGTTCCCAGAATCAACTGTCATGGATTCGGCCTGTTTTCCCCTAAATACTACCACAACTCTCCTTTCCAATACAAAAGACTTCTTTAAATGTTTTGTGGTAGGGCACACCTTTAATCCAAGTACTTAGGAGGCAAAGGTAGGTGGATCCCTGCAAGTTCGAGGCCAGCTTGGTCTACATAGTAAGTTCTAGGCCAGGGCTACACAGAGAGACCTTGTGTAAAAAAAGATAAATAAATTAATTAACAAAAAATAAAATTTAAAAAAAAGAAAAAGAAAAAGAAACAATAAACAAATACAAATACGTTTAACTTTTAAAATTTATAAATGTGTGTGCACACACATGCACGTATGTGGGTACCTATAGAAGCCAGAAGAAGGCTTTAGATCGCCTGAGCCAGAATTGCAGGCAGTCATGAGCTACCACATGTGTGGGTAGTAGGAACTGAACTCCAGTCCTCTGCCAGCACAATGAGTGTTCTTAACTGCTAAGCCATCTTTCCAGCTTCCCCCTAAAGTATTCTTTGAATGGTCTTAGCAATTTAGCATATTTTCTTCATATTCTTCAGTGAGATGTCACTCAAACCGGGAAGTCTCTCCCCGAGGACTCTCCTCTATAGATTTAATATATATTCAAAGCACAGAATATAGGTTGCTGTGGAAATGGCCACTTGCTGTGATTAATGAATGTGTTAGGTGTCCATAGGACCTCAGGCAGCACTCTGTTTAGTCCTCACTGTATGATCACAGGCATCATACTTACTCCCTCCGACTTATTAATTTATGTGTGGCGTGAGAAGGTGACTATGTTCACCAGTATACTACCAGGGCACTCTAATGTGTGACACAGGCTTATGCCAATAATAACACCACAACAGTGAGGACTAAACGGAATGATGCCTGAAGTCTCTGGACACCTAACACCATGCTGCTGTAAATACACAAAACAAGTACAAAACCACAAGCACACAGGGGCAGGGCACATTTGAAACATCTTTGCATTTGGATTGGAAGGTGCATACAGAGAGAAGTCAGAAGTAATGTTTGAATCTGGGTTACTGGGCCTCAGAGGCCTCTTAACCAATACATAACACTGTTTGTTTTCAGAAGGCCAGGCTAAAGTGAAATTATTAATAATTTAAAAGATTCTTTTACTGATACACACAGTGTCAATGATGCCCTTATCTAGCAATTATCTTCAACCACAGACCATAGGGATTTGTTTATAGCGTTCATCTAATTATCCTAAAGTGATGTTTATCTGTTGCAGACAACAAGGAAAAGGATTAGATGGCTAAAATGTACTCATTCTGAACTAAGCAAAGGTATTTCAGGCATGATGGAAGGCAATGCTCTGCCCACTGCAAAAGCAGCTGCCACCTCAATCTGTCTGTCTTTCCCCTTGCACAGACAGAGAATGACTTCAGTGAAGTGGAGTTAGGGGGAGCCATACAGAGGAATAAGAAAGGTGAATGAAGCAAGGAGATACTCGCTGGCAAGTTTAATAATCCAAACTTACTTTCTTGGTACACTTCTTCACAGTGTTGATCAATTCCTGCATTACCAGGTCCACGCTCTTCAAGGAAGGCCCTTTCAGCTTTACTATCTGCTTTTTGACTATTGCCTCAAATGCCATGTCTGGAGTAAACAGCCCTGTCCTGAATGTGAGAAAGAGAGCAGCAGATTAGATTTCAGCAGCTGAGTAGTAGCCAGTAGCCCTAAAACACGTTTAAATTGACTTTGACTTAAATGAAGAATGCAACAGATTAGGTGTAAAAGGTATATAGGTGGCTGAGGAGACAGATCGGTCATTAAAATGCTGGCCTTGCGAGCATGAGTTTGATTCCCAACACCCACACACAAAAAGACAGGACTGTGGTACAAGCCTGTGATCCCAGAGGAGGAAAGATAAATATGAAATGATCTCTGGGCTCACTGTGCATCTTCCATAGCCTGCTTGGAAAGCTTAAGGCTGATAAGAGATCCTGTTTCAAAAATGAGGTGGATGGCTCCTGAAGAAGGACAACTGAAGCCTCTGTGTACAAGTGCACACACTTACATGTGCAACTGTATACTTCCCACCCTGACACATATATACACACACATGCACACACACCACACAAGCACAATAGAGAGAGAGAAACATGCATATATCCATAACCCAAAATATATATAGTATCTAGTTCTATATATGGCACCTTTATATATAGTTTATATGTGGATTTTGAGACAGAGTTTCTCTGTGTAGCCCTGGCTGGCCTGGAATTTACTCTGTAGACCAGGCTGGCTTCAAACTCAGAGATCTTCCTACTGCTGCCTCCCAAGTTCTGGGATTAAAGGCATGCACCAATACTGCCCAGCTTGAAAGAAGAACAGTCCCCAGGTGGATGCTATACTATTATCTTTAATAATCCTAAAACCCAAGTTCCCACCTAAGAGCAATGCCCAAGTACTGAGAAAGGCAGGACTTCTCAGTATGTGCCAAATGCTGGGCTCAATGCCCTGCACCGCACACAAGACAGCCAAGCATGCTTTCATAACTTACAAAGTAATGGTAACTGTCATTTGTCTCAATTCATTATTTCAAAACAACAAAAAGGAACGTAACTAGGCAGGCCTCTATAACAGCATGTTCCCTGTCTGGATTTTTTCAAAAAAATAAATAATATGTGTCTGTACAGAAAACTACAGACATTATTCTTGATATTACTTACCTAAAAATGCCACATAACAATTATTTTCATATATCATTAAGGTATTGTGAGTAATCTAGAGATGACTTGGTGCACAGGGAGGCTGCTGTGTGTATGTTATATTCCAGTAGTGTGGTGTTTTATAAGAGAATGTGCATCTGTAGATTGGGCTATCTAGGGGGAGGGTGTCTAAAACCAACACCCAGTAGATTATAAGGGTGATGTACTAAGTTTCCATTACCATCCCGAAAGGATTTCAAAAGTAGCTCTCTCCTAACATGTGAGCTGCCCATGTACATAGTGAGGCAGTGGGACCCCAGAGTCAACTCTATCCATGAGGCTGTGTTAGCATTCAGGCCTGCCCCTGGCCCACCCAGTGCCCTGACAATGTCATCCTATGTAAAGTCCCCTTTAAGAAAAAAAAACCCCTCTCTCTCTCTCTCTCTCTCTCTCTCAATCTTAATTCAATCCCAGTGCCTAAGAAGCTAGTGCCTTTAATCCCAGTATGGTAAACATATAGAGACAGGAGGGTCCCTCTTAGAATCTGTTCCCAATATAATTTCATCCTGGCCCTGTGGCAGAAGCTGAGCCACAACTGGCCACCAACAGGAGGACCCCTTCAGCTTCACTTAAGGTAATCCATGAACCATGAACCAACAGCTTAAAGGGGACTGGCTTACACTCAGGACATTTCTATTCAACACGTACTCGTCAAATCATGTTTAGTTTACTATACATGAGCTCAAGAAATTTTTTAAATAAATTATATCATAGTTCTAGACTACATTTCTATGGACTGAATGCATGTTTCCCCTAAGAGTCATATGTTGAAAGTCTGTATACTTGATATCACCACATTAGGATTTAGGGCTTTTGGGAAGAAACTAGCTCATAAGGGTGGGACTCTCATGAGTGAGATTAGTGTCTAATAAGAAGAGAGCAGAGAGCTTGATTGTTCTATTCAACCACATAAGAGCATATGAGGTCTGAGTGGTATATGGATTGGAATAAGGCCCTCACCAGACCACGCCATGCTGGGGAACATCTTGTGCTGTCAGCCTCCAGAACTGAGAGACAAATTTTGTTATTGATAAGCTACCCAGTCTGTGATGATTTGTTATATAAGCCTAAAAATACTAAACTATAAAAATAACAGAATAATCGTACTCTGAATAAGGCAGAATTCAGCTTCTAGCTCACTCTAGCCCACATTCTGTGCTCATGTCGCTCCACTCTCCTAACCACACTACCCACAACAGCCCAAACACAAAAGGCCCAGCTCCATTAAGACTGGCTGCACTTTGTCATCTCTATGGCTTGACTCACACTACTCCATCCTCAACAACCTGCATTCTAACCTTCCACCCTCTCAGGTCCACTATATAAGCTCTTCAAATGCATGTATGCACACATCTGCATTTGTGTACACACACACACACACACACACACACACACACACACACACACACACACACATACACATATCTACTCAGAAATTAGTAGAAGACTCAATTTGTATCGTGAGGAGTACAGACCGTAGATATAGAAAGATTTTTATTATTATTATTATTAAAAAAAAACTTTCTCTAGCAATAGGAAATTATCGCCGAGTTAAAACCAAGATTTCCTCTTCTGATTTCTACTTCTCTACTTTCCTCCATTCTGATGATCAAAAACTGCTAGCCATTTGGAAATGCTCATTTCCCTTGGTAGATTGAAGACAGGGAAAACGTGAATCACTTGCCTGATACCATGTATGTTTTTGATTGCATAGCTTATTTCTCTTCTCAATTCTTTCTCATTGAACTCCATCTGCAGATGCAAAATGAACCACAGTTATGATACTTAATTCCTTTGGATAATATTATTGAATAGTATAGAGGGTAACTTGACTTCGTTATTAATAAATGGATACTCATGTCTTTTGTAAGCTATATCCAGATGGTTAAAACATCTGTTTATGTGGAGTTCAAGGCCACATGGAACACTGGGGATTTCCGAGTTCCAGTGGAGTGGAGATTTTAACTCTATTATATATGAGGGGTGCTGTGCATAAAAAATACCTCCTGGACATAAACCCAGCCACTCATTTGAAACACAGAATTCCTTTTTGCTGAATGTAGTAAAGTAGAGGCCACAGGAGAACGCAAATATGAGAGTATCTCTTGATGGGTGGCAACGGCACAGCTGTCTTTTCTCCCTGGCCATTTTAACCACCTGACTGTAAGACCTCTGTATAAAAGGAAATTAATAATACCTCATCAAGCCAAAACAGGATGCATTGCAGTATAAATATTTCCCAGAAGTCTTAGGCACAACAAATCTACTTGGAAGTAGGATCAAAGTGTCAGGGAGCTTAGCCCCAGAAGGCACCTCCAGAGAGCAGCAGGTTCAGCTCTGACAGGGATGTAGCCATTCCAGCCTCACTCTGTCCATTTCCTCCCTCACACTCCTCATCTCAGAACAATGACTTGCCTTAAGTCTCCATCGTATGCTGTGGCTTCACAGCTCAGAGCCTTTATCATTCCTCCTTTAATATCATTAACATGTCCACCCCGCCCCCTCCTCCTACTGCTTAACTAGCTACTCATCCTTCCAAACTCAGCTCAGAAGTCTGGCTCCTTTGCATGCTTGGACTGGGATTCATGTCTGTGGGTGGTGTTTCCATAGCACTCTGTGCTGAAGTTTGTCACTTTACTTAGCACATTTTAATAGAACTATCTATTTACCCACCTACTTCCCACACCAATACACAAACATCCACCTCCTCACATGTGAGACAAGTGGCACAGTCCCTATGCCGCTGAGCTGCATTATTGAGCAATCAAGCCGAGCAAACCCAAACGACTCTTGTTTCATACCCACACACTGACAGTTTTTCTTAGTTCCCTGGTCTGACGGGCACCATCACTCAGTCCATGGCAAAAACCAAAACTTGGGGAGCAATTTTGAACCTTCTGGTTTCTGTCTCTTGAATCGATCCATGCCTATCAACCTTACCTCTAAAATCAGTCATCCATTTCTCTCCATTCTCTGTTACATCATTTTTACTGAGAAACATCATTTTACATTCCAGATCTCCCTTGCACAAGATCCCTTCCAAAGTCATGTGCCTAATTATATGTTTGTAATTTTGCTTTCTTCCTTTTTAAGGGACCCCTGAGGTTATAGGAGTTTCAGGCATAAAAAAAAAAATGGATCATCACCTGTAGCTAGGCCCTCTTCCTTAACATATCTAATGCTTATCCATTGGTGACCCAGCAGGCATAGTGTTCTTTGGGGATCATCAACCCAATCAAGTCACACACCCCTGTGTAAAATCCTCCTATGGCTTTCCATTGTTAAATGTGAACCCTTCACTGAAACCAGGAAAGCCCTGGATCAACTGGGCACTTCCTTCCTCTCTAAATTTTCATCTTTCCTCCCACTTAGCTCTCTACCTGCCAAGTCTACTCTTCGCTATCATACTTATTCCTGTTCTGTGGCTTCACAGGAGGACACAGCATCTTCCCTGAGTCAATCTCTCCCCAGAGATCTTCATAACACTGACCTTCTAATGCTGTGCTGGTCACAGCTAACATGTCCTTCTCTCAGAGAGAACCCATCTAAATAACCCATGAAGAGGCACTTTCACATCATGCTACCATAATAACACTTGAAATTTTCTTAATTTGTCTATTTTTTCATTTTCTGTGTTTCCACAATAGACAAATTAGACCCTTCTCTATCTTGATCCCTGGAACTTGGGCCCACAGGAGAGCCTCAGAAATAGTTTAAATTAGAAAACTGATAAATGTCGTGAAAAACTCAAGCATTATTTCTTGATCTATATGACCTCACTAAAATCAGAAAAGAATATTTTGAGTACAAAGGATTTTATTCCAAGAACGTTATTGGTCCCAACACATCATATTACATCAGAAGAGCTGCAAAAGAGAATTTGGAAATGACGTAGGGCAAAGGGAGAAAAGAACAAACCTTCACTATCTCAAAGGGAAAGCGTTCATGGAAAATGCGATTGATTTTAGCACCGCCAGAGAGCTCTAGTGTATCGACTTGGTCCCCCGACCCTTCGATTCTCTTCTCAAAGTCCACAGCGAACTGCTGGACCATCCTAGAGTTGAGAAAGAGAAATAAGCCTTAGTTAAAGTCGGTTAAAGTTCCCTCGCTCTCCTGTTGTTCTTGCCTGATTCTACGGAGGGGATAGCTTAGACTCCTTTTCTGGTGTTCTTAGTGGCACCTACTGGTCAAGTCGAGAAGGCCATTACAAGACCACAAGTTGCTGAGATTTATTTTAGACATTTTCACTAGAGTAAATATTTTAAATATCTTTCTCTTTAAGTGTGTTCTGTTCATTGTGGTTATAGCATGAAATGATATTTAAGGAACGCTGGAATTAAAAATTAAAGTTATGTAATAAATCTTAAATAGAATAGCCAAGTGAGCATCTACTCCTGTGACATCACACTTGCCCACTCACAGCTCCTGCCACTCAAACCCCTCACAGGGCATTGGCTCCTTTTCTCCTTCCAAGTATGGAAACCTCAGTCTTTCTCCCTCATCCTCTAAATTTGTGCTGGGTTGTCTAAGGGTGGCCAGAGCATCAAAAGTTATCATATACAATTTTTCTGCACCTTCAGATGCCATGATTCATAGGAGTACCTTGCCCACACGTGCAACTGTGTGCTGAGCATGTATTTTCTTTCTTAGCTGTCTTGGATCAACACATCTAAAACGTGAACCACTTAACTTCTCTCAGTCCTGAGCCTGCTGATTCTCGTGCCTTGGCTCCAGCCTCAGCAACTTCTTTTTGGATACTAGAGCACCTCTAGATTCCGTTCTGATTCTAGGATTCTGTTCAGGTCAGACCTTACACTGCCATAGTCATACAAACCTGTCATCACAGACTCCCCTACAACTAGCTCTGACTTGCTTTTCTGTAGATTCCCACAGTTGAGTTTAACCTGTTATCTAGGATTCTTCATGCTATGGCCCTGGCTGTTCTCGAGGCCTGTCTCTTGCCCATCCACATATACCTTCCAATTCAAACACAAAGAATATACTGGCCAGTTCCCAAATGTACCATGCCCCTGTGTTTTTGTTCTTGTTTGGGGGCATTTACAGCACTATTGACTCCATTCCCTGCCTGGCTAATTTCCTTCTGTTCTAAAGACTCAGTTCAAGCAGTCTTTCAAGAAACCCCTCATGATCAGTGGTCCTCAGCTACCACCATCACCTACCACTGCCCAGATGAAGGGGCCTTCTGCTTCTTCAGCCTACTTCTAGAAAATACTTTAACAGATCACATCACCACTATTTGTTTTCCTGTCAGTCACTCCCCTGAGGACAAGGGCTCACACTCAGTTTATCTCTACATGAGCGACATATAAGAGATGCTTAATAACTATTTGTGCTATGAAGTAATTAATTATCTTAGACTAACTGGTTAAAATAAAAGAGAAAGAAGAAAAGTATTCCATTTGTGATAACTTAGGTTTAGACATTCTAATTCTGACATACTAGAGCTACTACTTTCAAATTCAAAATCTAATAGAAAAATATTATCTAATCTTCTGAAACTTGTATATTTTTATTGCAACTTGTATCTTTTTATTGTCAATAAATTTATTGGCTATAATGGGTTAAAGTAATTACAAATTACTTAGCCATGTTCCGGTGTCAGCTAATGTTTTTAGTGGTTTTTGTTAAACATCTGTAAAGTTGTGGCATATGCACTGGAACACCAGAAATTTTTACAAACTTCCATCTCTGTCACTTCTTCCCACACCCTCCACTTGGTGGTATTGAAATAAGCTTCACTCTATTCTCTTACTCTACTCCTTAAACCTAACACACTCTCCTCATACTTCAGGGCATTGAGCATTCACTTCCCCTGAGAAGTAATACTTCTCCTCACATATACCTGACTCCTCTTCTGGGCTCCAACATTCTCTCCTTAGGATAAATAGAATTAGTAGAGTCTAACACAATCCATCATTTACATGTGTGTCTTCATGACCCTCTTCTCGAGTACAAAGGTTCCCATTCACTGCTGACGCCATGGTAGGTAACGCAGAGCCAGAGTCTGAGTAGAGTGCATGGAAGGATGGCAGGAGGAAGGAATGAAGGGGCATGTCGGGAAAGGCAGGAGCACAAGAAGAAGATGAACCAACAGTCTAGTCAACAATCTAATGGTGAAATACTCTGCAGTCAAGACCCATGAAGTCACAGAGGCAAGGACCAGTCTTTACATCCTAGCTTCAGATGGATGTTGAGATAATAATATATGACCTCAATATAAATGTATTTCTTTTCTATGTAACTTGAAGAATTTTATGAGTTTAACCAAAAGTCAAGAAGACATAGACGTGGGAAGAATTCTACTCTTAATTTTTTTCTTCCTTGGTATGATATTATTTTTAAGTGAAATATAATATGATTCAATTAAGATGCCACGAAAACATTTTAAATATTTAGAAATATCTTCACTTAAAAAACAGAATTAAATCTCCTTTTGTGGCCATCACTGGAACAACAAACACCAAAATGGGTTCAATACCTTTGTGATATCTTGCTTAATATCACAAACAATATCTTACTTCTGACCAAAGCAAAAACCACAGAATACATTTCAAAGCATCCCCTCACATTTGAAGAAAGATTGTCTCCCCCTCTTCCCAAAGAGCTGAGACAGTAGTACAGTGCCAGATCTATGCCCATCTGAATGGATGCTGAAGTTCAAGTTGTAGGAGGACACCATAGAAGTCATCAGATTAGCAAAGTAGCCCAGGTTTACAGGAAGAAATATGTCACTTACACTGGATAAGTACAGCAGGAAAGTTCTAATGGCATCGCTGTCCATGTGGGCACTCACCCCAGAAGGTGGTTATTGCCATGCTAAAGCTGGACAACCATGGCAAAAAAGAATTGCTAGAACAGAAAGTCAAATCTCACCCACCACATAGGGAAGAAATCAGACAAATATAAGGATGAAACTATTGTGAAGTGTAGAGGGTAAGAGGTCTTTGTGTACACAGATAAGCACTGGAGAAGCCAGGAAAGTTAAACACTCAGGCTTGTCTCTTCAAAGGAAGGAGATGTTTGAATGCTGGGAAAGAATGTAGTTTATGACTGGTGATCTTTTGCTATCAGTAGGGCCAGGCTTTACTGGAATCCCCCAGAATATTATGTTTGTTTATCCCAGGCTTTTCTCCTCTAAATCTTGAGCATTGCTTCTCAGTCAATAAAACCCATCCTTATGAGAGATATCACTTGTACTTTACAACAGCCTAAGTATTTCTATGTTATCTTAGGTCCAGGCCAGTCCTGACTCCCACAGCATTATATTTACCTCAGTCATTCTCCCTAGACCCTTATCTTGAGCATTGCTCCTGAGTCATCAGAACCGATCTTTATGGAAGATGCCATATGTACTTTGTAAAGAGTTTCAATGTAAACATGTCTTAAGCTTTGTTGTACACTTGGGACTGAGCTAATTGTCATCAGGAAACTTTTTCCCAAAATTGTGCTGTGCTTAAATACGGCTAAAGTAAACCACCTGGCATCAGACTCCAGAATTTTGGCCCAGCACCAACTCACTAAGTAGCGTTGAATCAAGTTTCATCCTTGTCTCTCCTCACTGCTGACTGTGAAGCATATTGGGACCACTCCATACACAGTGAAGATGCAGGAAGAAATGAAGTTTACATACTAAAGATTGGTTACACGAAAAATAAGGGAATTAATTTTGCTTTGAGGTGCAAGCAATAAAACAATAAAGGTGCCACAAAATGGCCAGGGAAGTGGTTTAGTTGGTAAAATGTTTGCTACACAAGTAAGAGTAGTGGGGGAGATAGGAGAGTCTCTTTGGCTTGCTGGACAACTAGTCTAGCTAAATTGATGAGCTCTGGGTTCTGTGAGAGATCCTGTCTCAAAAAATAAGATGGGCAGCAATCAAAGAAGACATCCAATGTTGACCTCTGATCTACACTAACACACCCTCATGCACATTCATGCCCCCCCACATACATATACAATACACACAAATATAAGTAAGGAGAGAGAGAGAGAGAGAGAGAGAGAGAGAGAGAGAGAGAGAGATAGTACTATAAGAGTCATCAACTATCATCATTGACAGGCAATGTAGGTGTATAGGAATACTAGGTAGCAGTCTTCCAATTGAGACAGACCTAGTGTAATTTGAAGGATAAGAAAAAGGGGCAATTGAGGTCAAGAGGGGTCAACAGAGAGATGAAAGGAGAGAGTGTTCTCTAGCAACTCTGCTATCCTACTATCCTACCCTACCAACCCAGGAAGAAGACAGGAAGGTCATGAAGGAGTAAAAGTCCTACAGGAGTTTTTATGCTTGAAGTTTAAACAGACATATTAAAATCATTACCAGAAAGAAAACTAAGCAATTGATGCTTTTGTTTTTTTGGAGCTGAGGATCGAACCCAGGGCCTTGTGCTCTACCACTGAGCTAAATCCCCAACCCAAAATGGTTCGCCGTTAAAGGCTAGGCTCACAACCAAAAATATAAAAAAGCAATTGAAATGTGGCCTTATTCTCTATAGTTTTTAATTAATATTTCATTCTCATTCTACTGAAATATACACACAGGCAAATCACATGAGAACTTGAAATAAAGATAACCAAGTGGCATCTACAGATTCAGTTCTAAAATATAAATGATATGCTCATCTCTACCTACTTCTGAGGCAAAGGGAGAAAAACTCTCCTGAAGTATCACTGCTAGTTTTACCCCCTGACTGAATCCATGGAGATGGACAACTGTTAAATTTATAACAACAGTAAAATCAACAAGTGTTCCTTGAGAAAATGTAACGATAGCACACAGAACCCCATGTGCTTCTAGAAATCAGCACAACCAACAGATGGAGGCAAAGCAAATAGTTTCAAATGAGCAAAGAGAGAGAGAGGTGACCCACTGCAACAGAGCTTTCGTCTTCCTCGTGGGGTCTTCCGGTTTGAAGTTTTTGAAGGCTTCGACTTCATGTTCAATGGAGAGCAACTGTCCCTGAAGTTTGTTCCTGAAGTTGGGTAGGGTATCTCGAATATGGTTGGTAAGTTGCTAAATAAAACACAGCAAATACAGACACGTGTGTAAGAGTGCAGATCAGCTCATGACAAACTTCAGCCTCCACTGTCGCCCTCGTCATCGCCCCTCAGAACTCACATGCACATTTGCAATGGACTTCGTCAGCGGAGATGAAAAAGTAGTGTCCTCTCTTCCCCACTGCCTTTTGGAGATGCTCAAAAGTCCTTCAATTAGTTTCTCACTTGGGTTATCTTTTTTCTTTGTCCTCCCACACCCTGCTAAAATGTACCTGAAATTACTAGTGGGACTGCACTATACCACATTAGCATTGGGGTAATTTAGATTGCTCTTCACAGAAAGGAACATTTAACACCTTTAATCCCAGCACTCGGGAGGCAGAGGCAGGCAGATCTCTGAGTCGGAGGCCAGCCTGGTCTACAGAGCAAGTTCCAGGACAGCTAGGACTACACAAAGAAACCCTGTCTCAAAAGAGTATGCACACATACATACATACATACATACACACATACATATATATTAGAGACATCTCGGGCACTACCTGATGTTTTTCTTACCAACTGGATGAGCATCCTGATGGTGCACAGGTGGTCAAAGATGCTACAGGGAGCTGCCAGCTGCTAACTTTCTCTGCACTCTGGGTCTCAGGCAGGCCCCTTCAGTTTCCTCCATCTCCCAGGGCCATCTAGCTCTGACTGGTCACATTTATGCCTTCAAGGAGGTGGCTTTAAAAGGTCCATGACTAAGCAAGGGATATCTCCCTGCCACTGACATCCCTACCCAGTCATTTGATTGGCAATGCCTCTGCCATCAGTTTGCACCTCAAATTCAGTAGGACAAATGCTTCCAGAAGAATCTATCCAATGGTATATGTTTAATTAAAGGCAAACTTGAGCAAGAAACACAAGTGCCAGTTTTCTGTCACGTGTTCTTTCTACAGTGAGGCTTTAAAAATCTGAATTAAAAGAAACCAAGATTCTTGACCCACTGAAGTAACATATTGGTAATAAAAACAAAGAGGCAGAAAAACACAGGAAAAATGACAAACAATTGAAAGCAAGGGAAAAAGAAAAAGAAATGAATATTAATAAGAATAAATATGTCACTGGATGGCAGTGGCACATGCCTTTAATCCCAGCACTCAGGAGGCAGAGCCAGGAAGATCCCTGTGAGTTCGAGGCCAGCCTGGTCTACAGAGTGAGTTCCAGGACAGGCACCAAAATTACACAGAGAACCCCTATCTCAAAAAACAAACAAACAAACAAACAAATAAATAAATAAGTCAAGACTAACTGAATTATTTTAACGTGTCTTTTTGTTTATCTCAGGTTATTTGAATGAATATAAGCAGTCACTTAACCCATGGTCACCTAATTGTCAGAGGTTGGTGGCTCCATCACTCACTACTAGCAAATATGAATCGTCTTGGTTCCTGGACAGGTACTGCTGTTGTGGCCATGAAGCAGCAAACAGTAGAATGAAGAGAAGTGCATTCCCAGTACCAATGTCACCAAAGACAAGGACCTAAACCTAATAACAGCAATGGTGAACAACAGCAGTCGCCTGATGCCATGTGGGCTGTCAGAAAATAGGAACACTTGCCTCTGTGCTCAGCGAACATCTAAATAGTAGAGCGACATTGGATCCCCTCGGCTTTCTAAAACAGGTTTCTCTTTGACTTCCATAACCCCAGTTCCTCTAATTTTTCCGAATCATTTTCCAGGTGCCTCCTGCAACTCCTGTAGCAATCCTTCTCACCAGACAGATAACACTGAAATTTTCAACAGTGGATCCTATACCTCTTCTCAGCTCAGTGAATGTTCTATCTTAAGGTATCTTATTCTGTCTGTGGATTTGGTAAATATTCAAACAACTGTTCCTGCTAACAGGTTATCTCCAAACAGGACTCCCTATCCATTCTGTGGGCAGATGCATTTAGCCATCTCCTGGATCTATAAGTGACACCCAGCTTCAACACAGCCAAATGAACTACCTGACAGCTACAGTTTGGACCTGTGGTGTTCTCGAGCGCCCACATGTTAAAAGCTTGGTCACCAACCCATGCAACTATCAGAAGGTTGTTAGGACAATGAGGACATATGGCTAGTGGGAAGAAATGAGATTGCTGGAAGCATGCCCTTGAAGGACATTGAGACATTGGTCCTTTATTTCCTTCCTAGACACCAGGAAGTGAGCAGCCTTTTCTTTCATGAGCTTCCAGCATGATGTACTGTGTTGCCACGGGTCCAACACAATAGAATAAAGTGACCGTGGACTGAAATCTCTGAACCCGTGAGCCAAAATAAATCTCTTTTCCTTGTAAGTTGTTATTTTATCATATCAATGAAAGCCAACTAACACACTCATCTTCTCCTACAGGTCTCCAACATCTTAATAGACTGGGACCATGGGAGTTAACCTAGTTGCTCATCAAAGAGTTCTCCATCACCCATCACAAGCTCATCTTGAGTTCTCAGTTCTCATCAACATTTCTCAACTCTACTAGCCCTAACAAAGACCAAACTACTCTATTTTTTCCAATTTACTCTTAACTGATCTCCCCAATTTTAATCCTAACTGGTCTACAATTAATCTTCCTGCCTGTGGTTTACAAATGCTTTTTAACTCACCAATCTGACCCTTTTATCACCTTTATCAGGGATCTTTTGAAGAAATCTCTCTCCTCAGGATAATAGCAAAAATCCTTTATTTCCGCTTGTGAACATTAGTGGCCCTAGCTTTGGTCGCCTTTCCAACTTTATCTCTCACTATCCACACACCCTTTACCACATCTTCCAGCCACAGTAGTATTCCTCTCAGTCCCTCAAAAAAAATCCACCATTTTCCATTCTGCCATACCATCTATCCCTTGGAGCCACAAGTATACATCGCACCACTGATGAAGTTATCCCGATTTCTAACACAGAGTGAATATATGTGAAGCAACAGAGAGTGATTATATAGGAAAGGAAACATCTTCAGTTCACAATCCAGTCAAATTCCATTCAACATGAATTCAGTGATGTCCTAACTTGGTGATCACCTGTAATCTAAATGGCTAATCATGCCCTTCTGGTTTTCTACTACTCAAAACCTACTTTATTTCTAACATATGTCCAATTGTATTAGTGAACTTCCCCTAGGATATTTTTCAATCTTTTCATCATTTTCTTAGGCCAATACAGATATGAAGACAGCAACCTAGAAAGTGTGAGCAGCACTGGCTTCATTGGTAAAATATTGGGGTTCCTGCATGACTGGCTTGTGTTGCTCTTTAAAATGAATTGGTGTCTTGTTGTTGTTGTTGTTGTTTTTCAAGACAAGGTTTCTCTGTGTAGTTTTGGTGCCTGTCCTGGAACTCACTCTGTAGATCAGGCTGGCCTCAAACTCACAGAGATCTGCCTGGCTCTGCCTCCTAAGTGCTGGGATGGCTGAATTGGTGTCTTAAGTGATTGAGTCAAATGCTGCCTCGTGGCTTCTAAATGTTCATTTGCCCTTAATTAAGATGCATAAATTTATGGTAGTCTATTACATCACTTAAAAGTATACTACTGATCTTTATTTTCTACAACTTACTCTGTTGTTTCACCCAAGTGCTTCAGATATGGTATCAGCTGCTGCTCATTGGGCCAACATCAGGACGTTTGTGACTACCTGACTCATTGACAGTTTATGGACATAGAGAACAGTCCATATAGAAATTATTAGGATATTTGTGGCAGAAGCTACTCACAATATAAAGTCAGTGCAATGGAAAGTCAAGAAGGAAGCCTCTATCCAATGACCACCCATGCTTGCCACAACGTTCAGCTCCCATATAGAAAGAAAATATGTAAGTAAGTCTACTGAGGACTTATGGAAAAGGTGTATGTGATTTACGGGAGATGGTAGGCTGAACACCAACTCCAATTCTATTTATTTTGAGTGAGTGTGTTATATGGAAAAGGTGTTTTGGATTAGTGGAAATCAATGATTACTTCATCAAGATTTATTGTTTCAATATTTTAAATTAAGAAACCAATAAAGATTTAGCAAAACCATAAAAAAGTTAATGGAAAAATCTAACCTAACCATCACAGCTTGGCATTTGAAACAGATCCGAAGAGACTACCTTATCAGAGCTGCTAAAGTCTAACTTGAGATACTATGTATTGTGAGTGTTCATGCTCACACATGTGTCTCCTGTTCTAAATCTCTTGCTTGCTGTTCCTAAATCAGTAAGTGTTTTTGCTTTGAATACTGTCAACAATATTGAGGTGAATTCAATTCAATGAAAAAGGTAATTGTGTGGGTCTAAATATCGACTTTTAAAATTATCAAAAGCAGAATGTCTTATCTGGGAAAAAATAATTTTAAAATAAGAAATGTTAATTCTAATAATCTACACATTTCATAATTGTACTTACTTCTTGAAAGAATAATTTTACCTGATTCAGGACCTTCTGGAGGTGGGGGGTCCCCATACGATCAGCAATATGTCTATAAGCCGGGTGAGAAAGAAAAAATTTCCTTTCTGCCAACATGGCTGCCTTAATGTCCTTCTTCCCGTCTATGTCCTTCTGGCTTCTGTTGACCACCCCCACGTAGCCTGAAATGAAACACAAACCTATGGGATTTGGCACATTTCCTGTTATTTATTCTTGAGAAACTTCAAGGCTCTCTAACAGGCAAAATTAATTTTAAGGCCTAAAGACTGAGTCTCCTTACAACATTTAATCCAAGACCTCACTACCCAATAAATGCCACTGGTTTGGCTATTGATAAATTGTTGAAATCAACAGAATAATATCCCTCACCTTTTAAAGCTCTATATGCTTTAAGAAACTATATCTCAACAATAGTATCATACAGCAGGCAAGTAAATATCTGACTTAAAACAGGATGGTGTATATTTATGTAGCCTATGATGAATATTTATAACCTTCCTTCAAGCTCCTTCCTTCCCCTGTTTTCCTGTTCCTGTTATTTTAAGAAATAGTTCTCCTTTTGAAACGTTCCTTAATACAACACTCGGGAACATTGTACCATTCCCTATAAAGTATAGTTAATAATAAATCACTCCCTTATAACAGAGGAAGCAGTAAAGCCGAGCTTCCCTGTGGCTCGCCAGTCATTTCTCTGCCATATTATAAAAGGCAGGCCTATAGAAACCACAGTACATTACCCCTTCGAAGAGGCAGCAGCTTGTTCTCCAGCACATCCCTGGCATCAGTTCCTTCATCCATGAGATCCAGCTTTGTGATAACACCAATGGTCCTCAGACCTGTATCATAAACAAACACAATTGTTACTACACAGTTTGCAGGAAAAAAAAAAAAACTAACCAATTCAAGGGGCAAGGTATCTTAACACTAAAGGGAAGGCTCATATTCCAGGCCCTTTTCCTGTTTCTCTATAGCTTCCTTTGCATCTTGTTTACTATCACACCAGTCTGCTGATTCCCTATATAATAAGTAAAAGGGTTACAAACCTACTTATTCATGAGATACTTTTCCATCCAAGAGAGAAAAGCAGGTATATCACAAAAATACTTCTAAATACAGCCATGTTTCACTTAACCAAGGGAACATAGTCTAAGAAATGTATTATGTGTAGAATTAATCACTGTGCAATGTAATCATTACAGAGTATGTTTATATAAAGTAAGTGGCACAAGGCAGTGTTTCAATGGGACCTCCTGATGTAAACAAGAGATGCAATCAACAGGAGATATGTGAGATTGCAGTCAATCTAAGACAGAATAAGGTTTTATGGTTGACATAAAACATGTGAATAAGGGTGTTCATGTTCATGTGTGTACATGCATGTGGACATCCAAAACAACCTCAGGTGTTACTCCTCAGGCACCATTGACCCTCCCTTTTCTTCTTTATCAATAAGTTCTATTGTTAGCCTAGAACTATCTAAGTAGGCTAAACTAGTCAGTCAGTCAGCAAGTCCCAGGGTCCATCCATCTCTGATTTCTCAGCACTGAGATTGCAAGCATGCAACACCACGTTCAACTTTTTGCCTGTGAGTTCTGGAGCTCAAACTCAGGAACAGTGAGGCAAGACAAGCACTCTACCAACTGAATTGTAACCCAGCCCCTTGACACTTTTTATGAATAGAAAAAGAAATAAAATAGCTCTTAGTAAATAAATCAGTAACACGGTCATCTATTACCATTACAAAGTTTCTAGCACATACATAATTGAATATGTGATACCCTCCTAGCCCTGACAGAGGAGTGGGCAGTCTCACAACAGCATCACTACAAACATGAAGAATGAGTTTCACCATGGTGTTGTGAAGGCTATGACATCACTGGGCTCTAGGAATTTTTTTTTTTTTTTTTTTGGTTTTTTTCGAGACAGGGTTTCTCTGTGTAGCTTTGCGCCTTTCCTGGATCTCGCGCTGTAGACCAGGCTGGCCTCGAACTCACAGAGATCCGCCTGCCTCTGCCTCCCGAGTGCTGGGATTAAAGGCGTGCGCCACCACCGCCCGGCTAGGAATTTTTAAGTTCCATAATGATCTCAGGAGACCACCATTATAGATGTATATATATATATATATATATATATATATATATATATATATATATATATATATATATATATATATATGCAGCCCACCATTAATAGAAATGTTATATAGCATTGTAGCTCTATGAATTACACACAGCAAACATATTGAAAGGCATAAAATTTCACTATTTTTATTAATATCCTTAAAGAAAAAGAAGTCTTTGGATTCATGAAAGAATCAAACACCACAGAAACACTCAGACTAAGTAGAGCAGAGATGAAAATGTAAGTAGAAAGGTCAAAGATGACGTTGATGAATCCTTCCGGAAAACAATAGAAAAATATCTTTAAAAACCAGATAAGTGACTGTGAAGATACAAAGTCTGAAAAAAATGGTGTCCTGGAGAGAAAAGCCCATGCAGAAATGTTCAGGGGTTAAGAAGATCCTATTCAAGAAAATGTTTCCAAAGTGAAAGATATGAATTTATAAGTTGAATGAACTCAGCAAGTGCCAGCACGCAGTGAAAACATGTGCAATTTGTCATGTCAGTGTAAGATTTCAAACCACTAGAAACAGAATGTTCCAAAAATTCTGCCAGATGAGACTAAATAGGAAGCCGCATGAAGATGGTTGGGAAGCATGGCCATCTTGGCATTCCCAGAAGCAAATTGGAAACCCAAAAGCAACAGAGAAATTGTTTCAAAATTTTGAAGGAAAAAATATTTAACCTAGAATTCTAATTTATCAATAAGTGTGACAGTAGAAAAATCTGACTATTGACTTGCGAAATCCCAGAATATTTAAACTCCTTTTGTCTTTTAGGTACCTCGTAAGGTATGTACCCTACAAAACGGGGGTGCAATTTAAAGAAAAAAATGAAAACCAGGATCTGTGCGGGGTCTTCAGCAGTAAGGTTGCACCCCTTTTTCTGGAAGGCACCAAGGCCAATGGTGGTAGCCTATATTGGCTTTTTGGGGTGTCAGAGGGGTCTCTTGGACTCCCCCAAACAATAAGTCAAAGGTTTCCCATGCTTGTCATTGAGGTTTTGTTGGACAGTCTATAGTTTGGGGGAGGAGCATTGTCCCCGCTTCAACTTCAGTTATGTGTGTGTGTGTGTGTGTGTGTGTGTGTGTGTGTGTGTGTGTGTGCATTATATTATATGTAATTTTAAATAAATATAAAATATTTCCCTATGACTTTTTCCTAGTGTAACTTACCCCTCCTCTTTCCCTCTCCAACTGTGTTTAGAATCAAATATACGTGTGTGTGTGTGTGTGCGCATGTAGGTATAAGAGAGTGATGTGAGGACTTCTAAGTTTTATTCCTCCACATTATAAAGTCAAATAAAAATTCAATCATTTTAAATGTCAAGAAGTAGCAGTATAACTAACTATATTATAGAGAGACAGAGAGACAAGTACCAAACGCAATAGCTACAAGGGTTGAAAGTGGGTACCTCAGGAAACAGGGAATCAAGGACCAGGAAGGATGGAATCAAAAGACTTTATCAAAAGGTAAAATGTCTTTTGATAAGTGTCTTTTACCATTACCAAATGACTTATACATGCACATATATATACACATATATATCTTAAAGCCAGTCTATACATGTGTGTGTATATATATACATATATACATACATATATATGTGGGAGAGAGAGAGATCTTAAATGTGAATGTGTATATGACTTTAAGGAATGTATATACATATAGTTTTAGTTTTTAAAAGCTGGTTAAAAAGTATCTCTTTCCTACTCCTGTATCTCTGAAAAGGCAGCCACGTCCTCACTTAGTGAGGTAGAGTACCAGAAATGGAAAAGAGGCTATTTTCTTTCTCTTCACATGTGGTTCCACAAATAGGCGGCTTAAAATAATCAATGAATGAACTCCTGCTGGCAGACTCAAGACCTGCATTGATGGATCTCAAAAAGCCATTGTCAGACAAGATTTCAAAGGGTTTCGAGGCACGCCCCTGGGAATTTAAAGACCTGCATAAAACAGAACACATTGTTGATCCCTGATCCTGTGCCAGTCTCATTAAGAACTCAAAACGAAAACCATATGAGATGGGTGCTATTATTTTCTCAATTATACAGGTTGAGGAAAAGTGAGAGGAAAAATACACTTGCCTAAGGGGTCACAGCCTGGACACATGGAGCTAGAGTTTGGTGGTGCTAAATCCAACAACCTCATTCCATTTTTAATCCCACTAATTTTCTGCATCCCAATTCTTAGATTCTCTAAGTAATTAGCTGTGTTATTTGACAGCTTAGTCATAACATCTAGTCCCACTTGTCTATAGAACTAGGGGTTGGCTACAAGTCAGAATTCTGGAGATGGGAGTGATTTCCAGATTTAGAAGAGGTATCTTTAGAGATGAAGGAAGAGCAGGTTGCAGGTTAAGACACTCCTGATCCTCTTGATAAAAGACTAAGTGCAGAGCTGATAACATTTTCACTTTTGTGTTTCTGTGGTGCTTTTCTCCAATAAAGAACAGGCATGGTGCTGAGAACCAGTGAGTCCTGGGAATGACCTTGAGAAGACATAGATGCTTCCAAAATCTGATGCTTATGGAGACAGGAAGTTGAGTGCACTGACTAAGGAACAGACCTCTCACCGCTTCTCATCTCTGGGGTGTTCATTTCTTCATTAGCAGGAAACTGCATCTGCCAGTTGGGCAGCCACACACCACAGCGCCCTGCTGCCCAGGAGTAGTTATTAGCAACGCTTGTCGCAACTCTTAAAAGATGGGCTCTCTGAAGAGGTTTTATAGGCACTCCAGCTCATCACAAAAAGGGAGACAATAGCGACTATGGAATCTAAATGAGAGCAGCAAGAGTGTAGTCTGGCAGGTAAACATCTCAATCCATCTCCACAACATGTAAAAATATAAACAAGCAAAGCCAGAAAGAAACCCCTCACACATCTGTCAGATGGAAGATCACAGTGAAAGATGCTGCCAAAAAATTTCTGGCAAGACAAGTAAAGAAAAACAATCTCATTTTACAAAAGAAGAAACTTAGAACCAGAAAACTCACTGGCAATCAGTCTCAGAGTAGGGAAACCTAGTTTGTGCTTCCGAAAAGCAATCTTTAGGGCATTACAGGGAATGTTATAATTATCCAAGGACAACGAGGTGTGGCTTCCCAGTTGATGGTGTTACAGATGGGTAAACTAAAGCTCAGTGTTGAGGCAGGAAAAGTTAAATACTGCTAGATGGACTTCAATGTGAAAACCATGAGAGTTAAGAGCAAGACACCACCACATTGTGTGCATTCACGTGTGCATGCATGTGCATGTGCATGCATGTGCATGCGTGTGTGTGTGTGTGTGTGTGTGTGTGTGTGTGTGTGTGTGTGTGTGTGTTGCTTTGAGGAGCTCAAGGCAGTTCTTACATAAGAATCGCCTGTGGTGGTGAGAGGGGCGGGGCAAATAATTTGAAGTCTGACAAACAGCCGTTCCTCTTAACATGGTATCGTCTTTCTTCTCGGTTTGCTGTCATCAGCTACCCTGACAAAGGCAACTTAAGGGAGGATGGGTTTATCTCGAGGTACAGATTATCATGTGGGGAAGTCAAGGCAGCAGGAGCTTGAAGCAGCTGTCACGTGCACCTAGCAGTCAGAAGCAACAAGTGTGCATGCAACCAACCAACCAATGCTCAGCCTGATTCCACCATGTTATATGGTCCAGAATCTCTAAGGAACAGCCCCATCCACAATCAAAACAGGTCTCCCACATCAATTGACATAAGCAAAATAG